CAGCAGAGGTATCTGTATCATAGTAACCTACTTGCCCCAACACTAGCATAACCAATGAATAAAAAATATGTGATCAGTTATTTTTTATTGCAATTATTGTGATGATAAAAACAGCCCATCATAGACTTAACTTGATACATGAAACAAATCTTCCCTGTAAAATGTCTATAACAGCTAGCCGCACATCTTGTCTACGGAGAAAGCTACACATGTGGGTCACGCATACAAAGACACATTGTTTGGCTATTGTGTTTGGAGTATGCATTCACTTACACCTCAGTAATGGCTCCTTAGTGGTTCAGGTGGACTCCTAAATTCCACTGTTGCTCTTATCAACTTTCAGGAGAAGGAGAAGGGAGCAGGAAATGTAAGAACTAAGCAAGTCTGATTGGAGACAAAGCTACAGCCAGAAGCGTACTTTACTCTGGGCACAGTCACCTAAAGACCACCACAGTCTTTATCAGCTGATCTGGCCCCCTCCTCTTTGCCTGCACTTCTACTTAATGTCTCCTCCTTGTACAGTTTGTGCGGTAATAGTGGTCAGCTTCTTCCAATTGTGCAGTGTTTAACTCAAACACCAGCCAGCGTTGTAGGGCCCACACTAGAAACTGGCAAAAGTTTAGCGTTTTTTAGACCAGTGCTGTAATGGCGGGCTCTCTCTTTGTGCAGTAAAGCGTATTTCCTGCATTCGGCTTTGTCTCAGGAACAAGTGTTGGTCAAACAAGGCTTTTGTCTGTGGCAAGTGGCTCAGCACAAACACTGAGTATATGAGCCAGGCAGTGTGTGTGTTATAGACAGAGTAAAGGTCCTGTTGAAACTATATTGCATTAGCAGCTGACAGGCCACTTAAGGGAAGCCAATATAGTTATTTTGAGCACTACAAAATTGAGGAAAGAATTAAAAGAAGAGTTGCAGTCAAAATTAAAGAAAGTTAAGGAAATTGTTGCATTGTGATTATGATTTTCCTCGAACTAGCACTGGTTTTGGCTTAGAATTACACTATATAGATCCACAAGGGAAATTATTTTGACACATTAGCTCATAGATCACAATTTATTATAATAATGAAGAGCAAAAATATAAATGGTAATAAATAACAAAAATAACAATAACAAGAGACTGGTCTCAATTAAGGCATAACCATATAAATGAAAATGTATAAGTAAAAATAAAAAATCCAGAAATATAGTAATACATAAATATACAAATATATCTCAGTTATATACAAGAGGTTGCAAGAAAAAAACAATGCAAAAATGAAATAGTGATTGACATGACTTGGTTATCTATGACATAAGGGTTAGTTGTTGTACAGTTGTATGGAGTATGGTATAAATATAGTCCTGTATCTTTGTGCGGAGCTGTAGGAGTCTGTTTGAGAATGAGCTCCTCTGTTTGGCTTGTTTTAGTTGTGTAGTATTAGATTACTTTTTATTATTGAGCTTATTAAAAAAATAAATAAACTGAACACAGAAAGAAATCTAAACATCTGCAATAGCATTGTTATTCAAAACAATAATCTGACAGTCATAAGTAGTTACTCTTAAGCCACTTAGTCCCGTTTATAATTTCTTAACAGTTGCCCTCCACATGAAGTGTAGCCTTGTCTCCCTCTCTTGCTTCTCCTCCAACCTCTGCTTTCACCCTTCACCTCTGTCCAATCCCTGACTGTGAATACCCTAATGACATAAACAGGGCCGTAATCACATTAACTGCAGTTGTGGTCCAGGCATCCTTAAGAGCCATCCTATTGACAAGCCTCCACCTTCGCAAAGCACTCAGCCCAACACCTATAAACACTTATGAATATTGGCAAAGTCCTGCTATTAGCATAATCACCTCTCAGGTAGTGTGAGGGAGGCACAGGGCGATAGATTTGCACAGACAGTGACATGGTGCGTCCCCTCTGTGTGCTGTCCTCCTCTTCTTGTCTTCTTCTGTTGGAGGAACCAGAAGCTAATCCTGTTAGCTTGTTCCTCCATTAGCTAAATGACCAATATCTCAGAGAGCCACACATGAGGGTCTGTTTATGGGATGGTCAAGGACAAACCCAAACATAGAGGTCAAGGTAGTTTGTGAAGTTTGTTAAATAAAGTTGTTTAGAAAGAGGCCTCGAGGGCGCTTTGGTGGTCCATGTGGTAAAAAAAAAAGAAAAAAAAAAGAACTCTATATTCAATAATTCAAATCTGAATCTTGGATCGACCCGGTTTTGTTGTTTCATGCTCTCATTCAGTATCCAAATAAACAAAAATATCATCAATATCTCAAGTAAACATTTAGACATTTGTCAAAGATTTTGTAAATTTTTAGCAACATGTAGGCCTAGTTTTTCCTTCAACATTCACTACTGATAGTTGACGATTTATCTTTGCTTATTTAACTTTCACAAACTCTCACTTTGTTTTGAAATATTTCCAAGTTGCAAAATACACTATTCTTTAGGGATCTTGGACCTTTGCGAGTCGGTCTGTGATTCTGGTGGGCCTTCCTCCACACTTCCCAGATTATATTCTCTCTGCTCTGCCTGACATCTCTCTGTATTAGCCACTGTAATAGCCTCCCCTGCTTTGCTTTGTGCAGCAATGTGCTGAAATGGCTTTGAACAAGTCTTTATAACCCCCTATTCCTTTGCTATTCTCTGCCGCGTGTCTTCCCTCTGTTCTGATTATCCGTCTCTACTTTTCTCCTACAGAGGAATCCCCCATCAGCTCTGTCCTCTCCTCTCTCCTCTTTTCTCTACCTCCTGCATCGCTCGCTCTTCCCCCAAAGTCCCTTCTTTCAGTCATTCCTCTGAAATGGCAGCTGGGTTGTCATTGTGGCTTCTCGTCACTGCTGATCCTATTTCAAAGGAACCTGAAGATCCAGCATTAGTCCTAGCTCTCAAACTTGCCATAGACTGAAAAAATATAGAACAGGATGGCCAGACCATGTGGATGTCCTTTATTCCATTAGAGGACAGCCTAGTTTGTATAAGATCACTCTTTCTTTCTCTCTGCTCTTCTGGAGAGAGAGAGAAAAACTTCAAGAGCATCAAACGCTTTGTCAGAATGTCTTTTTTGCCTTTTGAAAACTGTCTCTCCATTCCTTTGAGGATAGCTATTACAGACAATAGTGGGCTTATTTAGATATCTTCTCTGGCATTGTTGTGAAAGTGGGCATCCTTTGGTCAGGCTGCAGATGCCCATCAGCCTGTCCCCTGTCAGGAAGGGAATAACAATTATTGCCTCTGCTTTGGCATGTGCACAGTTAGCCAAATGCCCGAGATGGGACGTGATTACACAGAAGCGGTCACTCTGCTTTTGATACATAAGAAAATGAATCGGCTAGAGCCTTTGAAGTGCTGTTTGGTGGCAGTGGCATCCTTCAAACATGTGGTAGGTTGTCATTAGGAAGTGTCTCCTTCACGCTACACTTCATTCACTCTTTCGACTTCTTTTTTCCCCATGTTCTTTCTGATGGACACAGCTGTTTGCCCCCTTAGTATCTCACTTCTCGTTTATGAAATGCAAAAACTAAAATCTCTATATTGCACTGTGTACTGATGTGGTTTGTTTCACCCCATTATGTGTAAAGGCAGAAATTAAATCAAAAGTAAAGCAGAAGGGCCTGATTATTGCTGTTTTATGAGCGATACAAGCCTTTAAGCACAGGCATAATGGTATTGTACACACTGAACTGAAGCCAATGTAGTGGGCTCATTTTATTTGTGCTTATGAAAAGAGAGACCAAAAACGTGTACGGGCAAATGGCTTTTTTATGATGGAAAAATTCCATAGTGGGTCAAAGCCCCTTGCAGGTGGCAGCAATTAACTGTAATTTTTGCAGATTGTAATGATCCATAATTTACCAGTATACCCCCCCTCCAACTCCTTTCAGTCAAGAGAAAAAGGTTTGCAGAGGTTTGATTGGGTGCACATTTTATGCTGCGTTTTGGTCTTTAAGTAAGATTGTTTGGAGGGGGCTGTGGATGCTCAGTAGAAAGGACAAGCACACAACAGTAGAATGCTCATCTGCTGCTCCTCCATTTTCAGACCTGCGCTTCTCTTCACCATCTTCACCTCTTTGTCTTTTAGCCACCGCTGCCGTTAAACATGCAAGGCTGTCCATCTTCGTCGAAGGCATTGTGCATACACAAACACAATCTGCTGCTGCTGCTGCCTCCTCGCTGCAGCCCTGGTTTAGGTGCAGTGTGTACAAATGTCTTGAGAAAAATGCCCTCCAGTGAAATAGAAAGAAGAAAGGATAATAAAGCCCTGAGATGAAAGAGGGAGCACATTTGCAAGTGACGGATGCTTCGTATTTTGCATATCTCTCACTTCTGCTTTCCCCTTCCCCTTCTCTATTCACCTGAGAGGATTTAAATAAATCCATAAAGCATGAAATATCAGAAATAGAAAAGTAATGCTTGAAATGCGTTTTATGAACCTCCCACACACAAACACACACTCACACATTCACATGCACACTATTTTCACCAATACACATGCCTTTTAGTTCAGTTTTTTGTTGTTGAAATGTTAATGTTTTTTGTGATAAATGCTGCAACAATATCTTACCATGTGACCTCCTATTTGTATTCACTATTAATATGCAGCTACTTGTCCTACTTCAGCCTCTCTAATTCTATAAACAAGGTGCCAGAAAGAGATGAGTGTGTTTAATGAGATTAGGTGGGCATTGTGAAGCAAATCTCAGGTCACTGTACAAGTGCCATTCAAAGGCAATTATGTGAAATATCTAAAGTCCTATCCGTGTCCACAGATTGGCTTTTTTCATTCTTTTGCAGAGGTTGTATTTAATAGTATTTAAAAAAAAAAATATATATATATTATATATATATATATATAATATAAATATATATATATATATATATAAATAACATTGGTATTAAAAGCACAATAATTTGCAATGAGCGCATAGACAAACATACTAAATGACTTAAACATTACTACATATTCCCATGTAATAACACATCCCTCCTGTGTGTGCTCTCCCCACAGATAAAGATGAGCCCAGCAGTTATACTTGCACCACATGTAAGCAGCCCTTCACCAGTGCCTGGTTCCTGCTCCAACACGCCCAGAACACTCATGGTTTTCGGATCTACCTGGAGAGTGAGCCTGGCAGCCCCTTGACCCCCCGTGTGGCCACAGCTCCTGGGATGGGTGGTGACTGCGCCTCATCCCAGCCACCCATGCATGCAGTGCACTTGGCAGAAGGCAGTCCGTACAGCCTGCTGAGAATGCCAGGATCTGGTTCAGGACGGGACTCAGCCTCCACCCCTCGAGAGGGCCGATATCCCAGGACTCCACCTTTATTCAGCCCTCCTCCTCGACATCACCTGAGCCCTGACGACCTGGCACTGGCCACTCACCATCCCAGCGCCTTCGACAGAGTCATGAGGCTAAATTCTGTGCCCCTTGAGCCTCCTCAAAGCATGGACTTCTCCAGACGTCTCCGAGAGCTGGCTGGAAACGCAGCTGGAGCTTCCCCTCCTCTTTCTCCAAATAGACCTAACCCTATGCAACGCCTTTTACCTTTCCAGCCTGGCTCCAAGCCTCCATTCTCAGCCACACCTCCTCTGTCCACCTCCCAGTCTCCTTCTGGATCCCACTCCACTCCCAATGCCAGCTCCAATGCTGTTCAACCAGGTACTCCTCTAAAGGCAAAGTCTTGTGAGTTCTGTGGAAAAACTTTCAAGTTCCAGAGTAACCTAATCGTTCACCGACGGAGCCACACTGGGGAGAAGCCCTTCAAATGTCACTTGTGTAACCACGCCTGCACCCAAGCCAGCAAACTCAAGAGGCACATGAAGACCCACTGCCAGAACAAGTCTCTGATGAACGCTAAGTCTGAAGATGGGCTCTCTGCCACTAGCTCACCTGAGCCCGGCACCAGCGACATCATGAACAGTGCTACAGATGCACTCAAGTCTGTGGTGGCCAAGTTCAAGAATGAGAACAACGGTCTGATGGCAGAGAATGGAGAGGAAGATGAGGAGGAGGAAGAGGAGGAAGAGGAGGAGGAAGAGGAGGAAGAAGAGGAGGAAGAAGAGGAGGAGGAAGAAGAGCTGGAGGATGAGATGGAGAGTAAGCCCCATGTCGCTGACGGCGATGACAGAAGCGACTATCGGTTCAGCCTGAGACTGGAGGGGGCGCGGCACCATCAAAACAGTGATGCTCTGCACCCCCACCGCAGGAACTCATCACGCGACCCAGGAGATGAGGACTCAGCCATGGAGTCTGACCGGGCCGAGGATGGAGCCACTACTCCTATGAATGGACTCGGGCCCATAACAGTTGACAGCATCTCACGTAAATTGTTAGGAGGCGTGAGTCCAGGCTCTCTCAGTCCTCTGTCAAAACGCATCAAAGTGGAGAAAGACATTGACCCGCCTACCCCCACCATCCCGAACACTGAGAATGTCTATTCTCAGTGGTTAGCGGGGTATGCAGCCTCCAGACAACTCAAAGACCCTTTCCTCAACTTTTCAGGTGGGGACTCAAGACAATCGCCTTTCGCCTCTTCTTCAGAGCACTCATCAGAGAATGGCAGTCTGCGGTTCTCTACTCCCCCTGGTGAGCTGGACGGAGAGCGTGCTGCTTCAGGACGCAGTGGCACAGGGAGTGGGGCCAGCACACCTCACGGGGGTAGTGGAAACGGTCGGCCCAGCTCTAAAGATGGCCGCCGCAGTGACACTTGTGAATTTTGTGGCAAAGTGTTTAAAAACTGCAGTAACTTGACAGTTCACAGACGCAGTCACACAGGAGAGCGGCCGTACAAGTGTGAGCTGTGTAGTTATGCCTGTGCTCAGAGCTCCAAGCTCACACGCCACATGAAAACCCACGGACAGATGGGTAAGGATGTGTACAAATGTGAAATCTGCCACATGCCTTTCAGTGTCTACAGCACTCTGGAGAAACACATGAAGAAGTGGCACAGCGACCGGCCTCTGGCTAATGACATTAAGACTGAGTAGACAAAGACTCTGGGCTAACAGTGACCCTCGCTAGCTAGCCACTACGTGAGGGGAGAGGACGACAGGGTTGGACACATACTGCCCTGTTTACGTCCCCGATTGGACAAGCTGAATGCATGATCCAAGAATGGGGCAATACGCATCAAAACTTTTTGAGCCTTTCTATTGTGCAATAATTTACATGTTTTGTATTTTTTGTAACTGGACAGCATGCTCAGTGTGTTTTGGCTACTTAGAGAGAAATTGTCCTTGGCTGGTGGGTTTGGTTGTGTTAGTGTAGCTGTTGATTCTTTTGTTTTCCTTGACAAAAACTTAGTTATGAGAACCCATGCTGCATACAGTGCATACTGTTTTACATATCATGTACAGTTTTGTGTTTTACATAGTGGACAGTGTCAAGTTATCAAAACATCAAAAAGCAGGGTCACACTAAAATGTTCTTTGTAAAAGATTTTCAATGCAAGATTGAGATATATATACCTTTATATGAAATTGGGCCGCCTATTAGTTGCTAGGCACTAGCGCCATAAAATACTTTTTTCTTCAAACTACAATGAGATGAACAATATGGTGTGAAATGACAACTGAGAGTGCCTTTACCTGAATTAGCTAGCCCTCCTTTTGCTATAAGCTCGGAGTTTCTGCTATGAATACAGGCCACTTTGTACATGTGAAAAGCAGGTCCTTGCATCAAGCACCTGTCCGTCATGCAGCGTCTGAGCAGAACAACAGAACCAGCTCGAGTGATTTCTCTTTTCTCTGTTGAATCATCATCTGCCTGACTTATGTTGCTCCTCTTTATGTTTCATGGCATGTTACATGCTTAAAGTGGGAATTTTTGTTAACTTTTCATCAAGGTTTTATTTTGGTGTACCGTTCCTGAAGGGTACTCAATTAACAAGTCATTGAACCAACATAAAGCTCTTAATTTTTCGCTTTGAAAATTAAAGTTTTGTTTTGTATTAGCTCTGTATAATGTTTGTGTGTCACCCGTCAGCATTGGTGCAGCAGTCACTTGAAGACCACACAGTGGGTTGTAGTTGCTCTAAGCTAGACCGTTTCTTTGGGGGTGGGCTATGGGGTTGAGGGTCAGGGTCGTGGGTGGTGTGGGATGACCAGGTGTCTTTACAATTCAATTGTTATATCCTTATAGCGCTTACTTTAACTGCATTAGTGTTAGGAACTTTAAATAACTCCTATACTGAATCCTATTGGAAATAATCTTTAACAAAAATCCACATCAAATGTCAAAAGGTTTAGCTTGAAACTTTCATCCATTCATTTGTGTTTGAGCAGCAAAGCTCTAGTCGTCATGTTGTTAGTGAATCTCCATCCCTGTCATTACTAAAGATAGCACTTGTGACTCTGCCTGTCTCTGTATCTGTCTCTCTAATCGGAGGTACAGCCGGTCGAGTATAAATGAACACCAGGTTTACATCTGGTATTAAATACGTGCACTGTTTAATTTTCCCAGTTTACAGTCGGACGCTCAAGGGAAAACCTGCTCTTATGCTGACAGATTAGTGTGGTGTCATTTCTTTTACATTAAAAAGACAAAAAAATTCTAAAGTAAGACTTGAAACTATTGCCAGCCATGTTTGTCTTGAGCCAACCCCAACTTGGCTTCTGATGGTATAATGCAGGAACGCCATAAAAATATCCTGCTTCATAGACATCAAACTGCTCAGTAACAAATTGACTTTATATAGGTACTTTTTGTTGTGGATTTGAACACTTCTGTTTTAGGGGAGATCATTATTTAAGTTTTTTATTGTTAAGTGCTGTTTCTCTTGTCTTGGTGATGGCCTTGACTTTTTCACATTGTAATGAATTGTAATGAACATGTCTCATCTTTATTTGCCTTTACTATACACTTGTCTTCAGGTTGAACATAAAATTTGAATTTGGAAGAGATTTATGATATATAAATATATAGAGAGAACTTAAAGGCGTAGGAAACTGCACACGTTTGTCTGTTCCTATGCTCCATCACATTTATGGTCTACCTTCTGTATTTAGAATGGTATTTGAAATTAATGTTCACTAGTGTAGGCACTTATAGTATTTATGTTGGAGCCTGTATTTTTTACTGTTTGCCTGTACTCTTTCAAGGTTTCAATGTATCCTTTTTTCTGTAGTGAAAAAAATCCCAACAAGCTGCCACCGTATATTTTCTTAATTTGGCAGGATAATATAGTGTGAATACTTTGTATGCTTGAAAATACGTATGTTTTTGAAAATAAATTGTGGTGATCTCCAGGGGTGAGAGGTCATATGATGGCCTCCTCAGGCAGTCCCGCTGGAGTGACCACACCAGGTGAAAACAGGTGGTTGTACATATCTTTTAGTTTGTTTTATATATATTTTTCTCTCCTGCCATTTTATATGCAGTATCACAAGCTATTGTTGGGTTTTCTTAGTAGCCAACTTTGTACTGTCCACCTAAAACATTCCAGCCGTTCAGACAAAAAAACTTTTGTCATATGCAATCGATTCACCTTCAATTTAAAATGGTTTGATTTTAGTTTACGTTGTATTTGTTTGCCAAACAAACCAAGGTGCTTTGTAATTTACTGATGGTACATCTCATATGCAAGGCATATTCTGAACAAGCAAAGATATTTGGTACTTGGAGTCATTGCAGATTATTTTGAGGTACATTGTTTCATCCTGTGATCTGTTTGTCCTGAACTTGAAGTTGACTGGTCATTGGTCGACATTATTTATTATAACACACACTTACACACACACGGTCCTCTGTTGTGAACGGAGCACTGCTGAACCAGACCACTCCCTCTGTCACTCAGATGGCTTCATTCTGTTTGATGACCAAAGGTCATTGACCAATCTTAATGAGTTGTTGCTTGACTTTTTAATGTTGTTATTTTCCGTTATGGAGATACCACTCTATTTTCAGCTCTTGTCTGCATTATTCTGTCACTCAGCCATTTTGTCTCAAAAATAAAGAAGTATTACACACATATTTTGAATATTTTTGTCTTTCTTCTTACCCACTTAAGATATGTACAGGTGTCAGATCTCAGCATACTTAGACATGCATCTTACACATTTGAAGAAAATAAAATTGTAAGGTTGTAGAAGCCCAAATTAGCATTCAGCAATATAGTATTTATTAACTTGTACTATCATCTAAAGAAAAAAACAGACATTTTTTCAGTGTTTGTTTGAAATTAAACAGTTAAGTCCTGTTGAGACAAGGTTGGACATAATTCTTTAATTAACAGTGCACCTTAATGAATGAAACTGGATATTGTTAATATGATGGATTATTACTAAAAAAAACCCAAAAACAAATATGTATACGTACAACATCATGAGTTAGTACAAAAGTTAGCATAAATTATTTTGTTAATACTCAGAAGACTGGTTTACTTTGAGCCACAGATTGAGTTGAGTTTTACAGGTGAGTAATATGGGGTACAGATAGAGTCACAAGAACTCTATACCAGTTCTTCTTGCCCTTCACAGAGTCCATTTTGTTCAATAACAATTATTGATCTATTAATAATTACAAGGATAGGAAACAGTATGAATTATATTATATTTTGGTATGTTGTTGATCTTTCACACCACTTTATATTATATTTAACATTTCAGTTTGTTTCCTCTTTCTACCCCCAGCCCTCTCTCTTCTCTATTTCCTGGTGTGTTGTGGAGGCACTGAGGGCGACATGACAGACTAATGGCTCTCTTGTCCGAGCCTGGCGCTGTTTGCTGAGCGGGGCCAGATTAAAGTTCACAGATACACAGAGGTTCCTGCTTGGGCCAGGTGTTGACAGTTAAGATAAAGGCGAGTTGTGAGGAAGTGGGGGGGTGCTCTGTGTGCTCAGGGAGGGTGTGGGGGTATACAGCGAGAGAGGCAGACAGCATAACACTTCTAAAGCTTAAGACCCAACCAGCCCCCTCTCTCTACTCCAAGTTCAATGTCAAGAAAGCAACAATAGCCAGCCACAAATCCAGCTACCATAGCATAGCACATAGTTTTCCCATAGCAGACTGCTGGACCCTTCCTCCTCTCCTTGTGTGGACATATGGCCTTAAGTCATAAAGCAACAGTCACCACTCTTTCAACAAAGTAAAACACGTTTGTCATGTGGGGTTTTAAATCTCCCATCCACCAAATAGCTCTTTTGCTCATTTGTAAAACAAGACATAGAGGAGAAAATGTGCTACCCTAATTTCAGTCTTGTCTTAGGGGGATACACAGATTCCCTGTTGAAGGGCAAGAATTTATTAGTTCATTATGCTAATAGGAACTAGTTCACAAACACTCTAGCACAGATAAAGACCCCTCCACCCTCTTTCTCTCACCCATTCTCTCTCTTTCTATCTGTTTCTCCATCTCTCTCTCTCTCTCTGTGTTGTTGTATGTCCTGACTTGCCTGTTTAGGCAGTGGAGGTCTGGAGAAATCCTGCTCAGGAACCATCCTCACTTCATCATTTAAATTTTGTTTACTCCATGCAAATCACTGGCAACTCTGAGCCAATTCAACTAAAAACTTAGATTAGAGGCCACAAGTAATTTATAATACTGTGTGATGAGCCAGTCCCATGCTTGAATAAATGTTTTTTATAAAAGGTTTTAATCTGGAGTCACATTGCTATTTAGTAGGTTTTAGGTCCTTGGGATTTGGGAATTAATTCCTGGGTGTCCTGCTGTAGCTCATGGTTTACAGTTTTATGCTGGGATAAAATTATGACATCTGATTTAAAAACCTGTGCTGATTAAAATGTAAATAACACTCCAGATGACAGATATGATGACCACAGAAAGGATAAATTTGGACTTGGCAAAAACGAGGTATAGAGTGATTTGAGTATTTTTCACGCTACTTCCACTGTGGTAGTGTCCATCAAAACCCAGCAATGTAAAGCTACAGATCTGGGAATAGTTCTCTTCATACTATGTTCTATTAGCTTCCCTGTTCCTTGGATAGTTCGGCAATTTCATGTTTCAGTTCTGTGGGTGAGCGAAGGAAGGGAAGATCTTGAGAGGCAGACTGCAGCTGTGCGAGAGCAGTGAAGAGGGGCCCTGGTTCGTCCGGCCTCTTTGGAACAATATAAAAGCACTAATCACCCAGGACAGCTGACACCCGCTCACACACAGACACACACACAGAGAACTGAGGAGGAGAGCTCTGCTCCAACAAGACTTACAGGTCTGGTCCGGCTGAAAAACAAAGTCTGTGTTTTGTCTATTGGACTAGACTCAAAGTGCTTCCAACAAACACGGCAAGTGCATGTAGTATCCATGTGGTTCTCAAGCATGGATGTCATAATATCAAATTTTAGTATTCAGATTGTTGTGAGAAGAAGCATCACATTTTATTAATTAATGGTAATTTGACTAAACATAATTTTGTTAGTCTAATATAATATCATTCTTCAAATAGGTGTAAGTTACTGTGACATAAACAGACAGATAAAAGCACTTGCCTACACCAGAAATCATCTACAACTACAACTTCTCCCAGTGAAGTTAAATATTAAATTTATTTAGTCATTTTATTTTATTTTTTTTTAGTTGGGTTGATGGTAGTACTACATTTAAGCATATCATAGGCAACTCATGTATTACTTCACACCGTCTACTCTCTACTCTTGTGTCCTTGAGCAAGGCACATCAACATTCTCCACTCAAGCTACAATATTGATTCCAACTGAAGGACATCTGACGTAAAAGCTAACCCACCAAAAAGTCCTGATTTTAAGGCCCAGTTCTGTTCTGGTTTAGACTGCTGGAGTGAGTTGTCTGTATTTATTTTTCTCTGCTTAACCCTTTAGTACCTCTGGGTGCATACTGGGTTTAGTCCAGTTTTAGGTTCATGTTGACTTTTAAACAAACCACATGGGGAGCCAAATATTTTATGTAGTACTTCTGGTTGATATACTGTAAAATACCCTCCAACATGACGTTCCAACTTTTACAAAGCCGTTAAGAGCATGGCCGATCCTCTTCTCCTGTCGAATCAAACGCACATGCTGATGTTGGAGCAGAAACCACATAATGGACTACAGACACACACACATACACTTACACACACGTGGGTACACAGCAGTGTCTTCGGGAATGTGACCTTTTCCAAAAGCCTCCCTTTCCTGCCCCCTAGCTCCCTTCCCCCTTGGCTCTGTGAAGACTGAAGGGGTCAAAGGTGAGGTTTTGGGGGGACTGGAGATTAGGTTTCACATGACTGAGCACCTTTGTTGGGGCAGGCCAGCAGAAAGGAAACGTCCAGGAGGGTAGCTGTGTCTGTCTGAGGAGCGCGAGGGGGGATGGGAGAGAGGCCAAGAGGAGAGTGGCTGAAGTTGAAGTTTGGTCAAGCTGGGATGTCCCAAGTTGAAGTGCAAGGACAAGTAACGACAAGTTTTCTCCAAAGTTTTTCAAATAGTTTCTGTGTCCAGCCAGTGTCCTGCCCATACTCGGTGCCTGCTCCTGCTGCTGCCTGGCCGGATCTCCCTCATGACCACACAGCGAGAAGAAAGCGCTCTAGCCAAAATAGTAAACTGGATCACAGCACAAGTAACCCCCTCCCTCCCTCAGCCCTCCCGCTCTTCCTCCTTCTCCTCCCCCTCACAACATCTGAGTCGTAGTCTGCCCCGCCGCGAGACAATGTGTGCGGAGACTGGCAGAGAAAAAACTTGGCACAGATCCGTGTTACCTCGCTTGTGAAGTATTGCTTTTAAATATCTTTTCCCTGTAACACTGAAGTACGTTTTTTGGAACTTGTACAGAGAGGCAGACTCGCGGAGGGACTGGTAGGGCTGATGGCTTCCAGATAGGGTGAAAACTTTGACCCTTGAGTGAAAAAGGACAGAGGCTAATGACTGATGGGGGAGGAATGTTCAAATACTGAGTTGGTCATAATTGAGGACCAGGGCCTGAAGGCTTTGCTGTTATTGCTAGCCATGTGGCATTTCAAACTTATGCAGCAATCGCAATAGCATGCACAACTTTATTACATGAAGTGATAAAGTAAATTTAAGACACATCTTAATAACAGATGTTCTTCGGCACTACATCAGACCAAACCTGCTTGGTTGAGTGGCTCACTGGTAGAGCTGGAGTGAATATGTATCAAAACTTGCCTTGGTTTTTTAAGTTTACATCTGCCTCCAACAGTTTACCAAATGTTTCTCCCTTCTCTCTACTCTATTTAAAACTCCTAGTGTCCTATCAAATTAAGCCAGAAAAAGGTCTGCAAAACAAACATTAAAAAATCCAAGTTAATAATGCACAGGTAGTGTTTTAGAATGTGAAATTACATGAATGAACAGTAGGGAAAGGCTATTTCCATGACAGGGCCCACGAGAACAAGAAAAGACAAGATTTTGACAAAATTTATAATGATTTATTTGTGCAGTTAATTTAACAATTTTGATCTCATCTCATTTTTGATTTATTTGATATATTTTTGCTGTGTTACTCTAACAGTTCTTTTGGAACTATATCTTCTCCAGAGGCACAAGACTCAGCAACATTAACCAATTTTTATCCATGGCAAATGTAAACATAAGGGGAAGAATGCACAAGATCTCTTTCCTTATGTGTGCACAATCTTATGCCAATTTTATTTTTTGAGATAAAAAAATCTTGTCATAACCTATGGGGTTTCTTATTGGACAAAGTAGGGGTGGAGGTGCTGCTTTGACCTTGAACCATGGGACACTTGCAAAAAACACACTGTATTTGAGTCGTACCTGTGTAGGTATCATGCCGACTTACATATTCTTGCATAACTATATTAACAGGATGGGCCTGAACATGCAACCACTGCCCCCTGCCTGTGTGGAGGTGTGCTGACCAGGTGCGCAGCCATGGGGAGATTTCTTTGAGCACTAAAACAGGTCATACAGTGAGTGGCCTCAGCCTGTTAGTGCACCTGTATGTGTTTCTGCTGTATGAAGCTGAAGCATGGGGGAGACAGCAGGGCGCCTGTTTACTGTCCTGTGAATAAAAGTTCA